ACAGAGAAGAGATGAACTTCTTATTGAATTTGACAATAAGGAAGTGCCATGTTTCCGTATTTCAACATGGGTTTTAGTCATTAAGATTATTCTTTTTTACATCTGCCTCAGGTTCTAATGAAATGTCAGTGAAGAGGGCAGCTTCACTAGAGCAAGCAAGCAGGGGCGGGAGATCCCCCCTGAAATGAAAGGGCATCTATTATGCTTTTCTTATAGTTTGGCCACAAGACAAGGAATAGTGTCTTGTTTCCCAAGGGCAAGCTGAGTAGCGGATGTATTTAGTGTGAGATTTGAAGGACCCAGGAGAGGGAAGGTATCAAATAGTCACCTTATCTGCAGAAGGTGGGATATTCATTCTTAAAATTATCTGCCACAGGGAGAGGAAGGGGAGAAATTCCACACCCTTTGTAACCTGTACTTTAGCAATGAGAGTGCCTTCAGTCTAAGTGCCAAATATTCACCTCTTTTGTTTCAGGCCAGAATTATCATTTCCCCACCCAAATGATAGGACTTTTCAGTACTGCACTTGCTTCTGTTGCTGTCTCAATGCCACAGATTCTTCTGGTCCCCATTACTTCCCCATGTCACTGCTCTGTTTGGTGTTGCAAATCAATCATATCGCCCATCCAACCCTATCGCTTAATGGCTGGGTTCATGCAACATAACAACACACACTCAAGGTTGAGCATGGGTTGAGAGGGGCTGTAACTGAGCGCTGGATTCTTGTTTGTGTGAGAGCAGCCATGCTGATAAGCCATGAATAATCCCTGAAGTGTATCCATGATTTGTTGCTGGGATCTGTGTATTGTTTTGGGTTAACCAGTCATGGTTTGTTAGCACAGCTGGGTTTACATAACACAACAACCTAGTTCAGCAACAACCCACATTCAACCCATAGTCAACCTTTGGTGAGGTGTGCGAACTTAGTAAGATGATATAGTAAGTGGAAAGCTACACTGTGGCTGATGTGATGATATAACTAGAAACAGGCATACTCATGCTTCAACATAATCACAGTCATTCAGACTGGGCTACATGATAATCTTATTAAGGGGACATGAGGGCAATTGGGAGACATGATAGAGAAGGACCACTTAAGCATACTCAGACCGAAAAATGACCTATAATTCCTGAGAGCTGAGGAATCTTATGCATGCTTTTTTTGTCAAAGCATGCATAGAATTCTGACCTAAGTGTGCACACACAAACACACACACACACACACACACACACACTTTTTGGCATGCTCAAAAGATTGCATAAAATAATCATTTCACTCAACCTGGAATAAAAATAGTACATTTTATTTTAATTTCAATTACCAGTGCATGATGGGCAAATGACTACTACTAAATGTGGCTACATATTTATTGTTTAGTTGCAAAGTCATGTCTGACCCATCATGACCCCATAGACAACATTCCTCCAGGCTCTCCTGTCCTCCACAATCCCTTGGAGTCCACCGAAGCTCACACCCACTGCCCCAGTGACTCCATCTAGACTCCATCCTCTGCCGTCCCCTTCTCCTTTCACCATCAATCATTCCCAACATCAGAGTCTTCTCCAGTGAGCTGTCCCTTCTCATTAGGTGGCCAAAGTATTTGAGTTTCATCCTCAGTATCTGACCTTCTAAAGAGCAGTCAGGGTTGATTTCCTTTAAGATTGACTGGTTTGATATCTTTGCAGTCCAAGGGACTCGCAGGAGTCTTCTCCAGCACCACAATTCAAAGACCTTAATTCTTCGGCACTCAGCCTTCCTTATGGTCCAACTTTAACAGCCATACATTGCAACTGGGAAAACCATAGCCTTGACTATACGCACTTTTGTTGGCAGGATGATGTCTCTGGTTTTCAGTATGTTGTCTAGTTTTGCCATAGCTTTCCTCCCAAGGAGCAAGTGCATTTTAATTTCTTGACTACAGTATAAGAGGTTCTGTGCTCAAAAGCTACCCTAGAGTACATGCAATGGCACTCAGGTAGTCTTTTGGTCTGACTCGGCAAAGCTCTTCTTATATTGTTGTATTTTTTTAACTCCCTTCACTGCAAGGATGACAAGAGGCACACAAATTTATCTGGCAAACCACATTATGTGGTTCATGATCTGGATTTGGCTTGTACATTACAAATTGACCTCAAATAGTTTCCATCTTATTGTACTTAGATTACTACCATTCCATTCTTGTTCTCTATCAATTATTACATTTCTCCCAAATCTCTCTCTCTCTCTTCCTGGAAATTTAGCAGGCTCTCTCATGAGTTCTTCTGCATCACATTTGGGCTACATTTGTCTTGATGGAATACAAGCAGCTCAGGCCTGACTTGGAAGAGGATTCCCAACTGGCTGGAAAGGAAAAGGGGCAAATGATGGGGAAAGACCAAGGAGCATACAAATTTAAGAGTTTCAGAAATGTAATCCCTCTCCCCTCACCCCGCTTCTGATATTTGGAAAATGAGCATATGGTTCAGTTCTTGGGTTTAGTGACCCTTGATGATAAAACATTTGTTGAAATATTTGTACCTTCAGCACTTATGTGTGTAAGGCCAGTTCATGATGGATTCTAAGAGTGATAGGTTGCTGAATTTTAATCAACCTGATACTTTTTATTGGGTATGCACATTTTAAATTCTATGCTTCTCCTTTGACAGCTTTGTCCTGTAGATTAGAGCATTTCTTGTAATGACCTTGCAGCAATGCTGTACATGTCACACATTGAATATTTTCATTCATATTAATTTCTAAGGAGGGAAGTCCGATACATGGGAGATTTTGCGACTGGTTCATGCTCAGTCTTCAGTAGTAATGACCAGCATGTGAATAAACAAAACAATCAGACTTGAACATGAATTATGTTGAATTTTTGTGAGGCATAGTGCAATATCAAATATCAAATGTATATAGAAAGAATATCTATATTATAGAATAACCAGCCAGGAAAAATAGATCTCTGCCTGGTGACAAGCAATATCCAAATTACCCCTGCCAGCAGGGATGCCCTGACTAAATTCATTCTATCCATGTTTCATGGATTCTGAAGTGTCATTCATTCCATTGTTCGTTCATTGATGGAACTGGTTTTTTTAGGGATGTACAAGTCTTTTGTTCCAATTGTGCAAATCAGTGCTTGTGCTAATGTGCATTAATGTACCCTCTCCCCCAAAAAGTATAAAATTAGTCTGTGCAAATTGGAAAAAGCTCATCTTCTGGAGAATTCATAGGGAATTTGGGTTCATTTTAACCCACTGCAGTTTTCTCCGACATTCCTACATGTCAGCGATTCCCATTCATGTATCAGACTGGTGGCCAAGCTGCTGATACATTGAGACAATCCTGTCTAATCTGATGGGAGACTGCTCTCCAGGGTCCCTTGTAGGGGGTCTTTCCAAGCCCTGCTTCTGAACTGGGGATAGAACTGATCCTGGTTCCTTCAGCTTGTAAAGTATGTGCTCTCTTCACTGAACTATGATCCTCCTTCCCAAAATACAAACAATACATGCTCCAAGGGATCTATGCAGGATAGCATGGAGCACTGTGGGATCTGAACTCATGGCACATAAATCGAAATTAAACTAAACCAGGGCTGATCCAAGACTCTTTGCTACCTGAGGTGGGGCAGAAAATCAGATCACCATCAAAGTGCACAGTACCTGAGGCCAAGTTATTTTAACACTTCTTCCTGGAAGTACAAAGATGTTTACTACCTACAAGTTAAACAGTACCAAAGAGAAGTAAAACTAAACTAAAATTCCCTGCTCTTGGATGACATCCAAATCAGACAGAAGATAAGGCTATCATGATGGCTATAAATCCCCTCTGGTATCAAGTATCTCACCATATACCAGTTGCTGGGGAATGCAAGCCAGAGAGGGCTACCACATTCCCATCCTGCTTGTGAACAGAATGCTGAACCAGTGAGGCATTTGGTGTGGTCCAGCATGTCTGTTAACGTTCTTTGAGACAATTTCTTCACTCTTCCTAACAGTAGGGCCAGTGCTATATGCAACCACTGTGCCATAGCATAGATGAGGTGGCATCTTCAAGATTCAGGGCTGCTGGCTGAAACATGGTCGGATCAGGAAACAGAGTAAATGTGGTTGGATGTGATTCCAGACCTAATCAGCACATGCGCCAGTCATTAGGCTTAAGAAATAACGTAAGATCCAGGTGCATAGAAACATGAATGTACACACAAGTTGCCTGATCTTTATGATCTTCCTCATTTTCCTCTTCCTCCAGATAGGGCAAGGAAAGCAAATGACAAGCAGATTAAGTGTAATTCATTTTCCTGGATCTCAAGTTATATTTAGCAACAGGTGGGCATGCACCTGAATCTGGCACATTGCCCCATTGTAAAAGTGCTAACCATATTTCAAAATAAAATTTCATGATAAAAAGTTTTTAAAAGATCAAGGCAGCAATAACAAGAACCTATATAATGCAGCAAGATCACTAAACAAACAAATGGATTGCCTAATTATAATTCTTAGTCTGTCTGCAGTATAATGTACAACAGCTATAGTAAACCAGTCGGAGTAAGAGCTCACTTTCCAATGTTTCTACAGCAACCTAAAAGAGCAAATGATATGTGAAATAAGTGGAGACTGTATGCCTTGGTATTTACAAGGGAATTATTTTTAGATGCAATTAATTTGAAAATTGAACCTTGCATAAGGAAAAGAAAGACTAGCTTTGGTTTTGAATTGTATAAAGTGCAGTTTTCAAGCCAGGATATTTTCAGACAAATGACCCATATGAAAAACCGTGCAGCTCACCCCAAACCAAGAGGACTGTGCTACTACTTCATTATTGCATCTATGAAGCCCTTCACATTTTGCATTAGCAAATGACTTAATATCTCAAATACCGCAGCATCATATTTAGATGCATGAAAAATGATGTTCCTAAGCTTAATTGCAAGAGTGGGGATTTAAACACACACTGACAGAGACATTCTGATGGTCTTGAAGTTACTATTAATCTGTAGCACATTTTATTTACTCACATTTCAAATGTTATGCTGTGAGCTGTGTCCTCATACGACTTTTGGCTCAAGCAAAATTAACTCCAGAAGTGAAGGAGAGGCCTGCTGAGATCACTTCCTGCTCAAATCTGTTTCTTGGCTGGGAAACTAGCTTCTCTTGTTCGTGCTGGAAAACATTTACAATGGAGAGGTTGTAGTGTGCTGGCAATGTTACTCCAGGACATGTACGCAAATATAAATAGCTATTTGAATAATGTTAGGCTGTGGAGTGAGATGTGCGATAGTAGGCCAACGAAGAGGCCAAGAAAACCAAAGGCACTTCATAATTTGTATATAGAGCCCTGCTTCCAAAGTCCATGTTAGGATTACTGTAATGTAACTAGTAATACTCCAAGTTGTATGCATACCAAGAAGGGAATACTACTATCTGAATCTTTCCATGAAACTTCTAAAAAATGCCCTCCTTGTTTTCTACAGCTTCTGGATCCTAAACCTTGCAAATAGCATAGGCAAGCATGGAACAATCCTGATCCTGAAGACTATTTATTTATCTATTTTTTGGTAGCACCCAACAGCTGAAGCTCTCTGGGTGGTTTAAAATGACACATAAAATACAGATAGCACTAAAAGCATCTTTGTTTATTTATTTTTTTATTTATATCCTGCCTTTTTCCTACAAAGGGCTCAAGGCAGCTTACATCATTCTCCTCCTCCATCTTATCCCCACAACAACAACCCTGTGAGGTAGGTTGGGCCGAGAGTCTGTGACTGGCCCAAAGTCACCCAGTTGGCTCCATGGCCGAGCAGGGACTAGAACCCAGATCACCTGAGTCCATGCTCTTAACCACTACACCGCACAGACTCATCTTAAAAGAGTGCCATGTAAAGTGTAGTATCAAATGTTTAAAAGCTCCAATTGATTATACAAATTAAATCATAAAAGCTGATTAAGTGGCTAACAAAGCCCCAAACTAATAGTAAAGAGGACAGTCTTAACTTGGCACCAAAAAGATATTAAAATTGGTACCAGGAAGGCCTCAGCAGGGAGTTTGTTCCATAATTGTTTTCCCCAACATATATTTGTATTCAAGCATTCTCTAGTTCTTCTGTACTTTGTGTGCCCTATCTGAAGAGTTGCAGCATCTAAATTTTAAAACTAGCATGTGGGAAGGATCTCCACATGCCATTTGGAAAATGAGTAAGACAGTTTTACAGCTCTGGAAACATATTTCAGCTCTGATGCCTGCCCTTTTACAAGCCCCTTTTAATGGTTATTTTACGGGGTTGAGCAGCAACCAGGAAGACCTTCCTATTCAGTGCTTATTGACCTGACTTGTATCACAGGAGGCTTCCTTAGACCCTGTCAGAAAGCGGACAATATCCAATACATCTACTGCCACCTCAGAGTAGGACACTTCCTCAACCATTCATTCCTGTTCTGTGGAACCAAAGATGCCAAGGAATGAACCAGGGACTCTGCAGTCCCCCAAAAACTTTTTCAGCTCTTAACATTGTTTAGAGTTCAAATGAAAAGACAGTGAAAGAGTAAAGGATAAATGGACAACTATCACATTAAAAAACCAACTGGCAGCAAATAGCAGGGGAAAGTGATGGGCGCACCACTCCTTGATTTGCTGCTACGTACCTCTGTCCTGTCCTGTGTGTGAACCCTTGGGCAGGGCGGAAGCAAGATCAAGCTGCGTGTCCAGAAGTCGCTGTTCCTTCTGTCCTGTTCTCTTTCAGACCACCAGCCACTGATGCAGCCTTCCCATGGAGCAAACGCAGCAGTGAATTCGATCCCCCGGCAAGAGCTGTTGGTTATAAGCTATGAATAGGGTGACAATCCATACTAACAAATACATAAATAAATAAATGCCAGAATAATCTGTTTCTGTCTAAGGATTACAAGGTAGGCATACGCAAGCAGGATTGGAGAGAATCTACCTAGGTTCTAGTTGAGCCATGTTCCAATCATGACTCTTGAACCCCATCACATGTATGTCTCATGACTTGAGAGCCACTTCCACATGGTATAAAAGCTCAACCTGCAAAGTTTAGCAGATCTGATCCATATTTGCTGGATCCGTAATCCTGATTCAAGACTCCTCAAGGAGTGTGCACATTACAACTCATACACCACCAAATCCAGTCAAAAAGGTGCCTAAAAACACGCATTTAAAAAAAAACAGGTAAAAGCAGCTACTAATAGGTAACATACAATTTACATTAATATTGTATAGGTAAAAATAGATAGCTGCCCCATCAATTCCAGTGATAGCTGTTTGGCCAAATCAACAACCTCAAAAATGTGTTTGCTAATAGTAACCAAGGAAGTGGCTTCCTTTCCCCTCTTGTAAAAAAAAGAACAAAGTCTGTACAAAGTCCCAAGTTGTAAGCTCTGTAAAGGAAAACCGATGCAATCTATTTGATCCATTCCCCCCCAGCCCCCTTAGGATCTATAACCAAAAACACTGAAATAAAATTATGCTGTAGGAGAATGATTGTATGAGCATGAGTTCAAGGTCTGATGGCAATGCAAAGAAGCAGACCGGCACAGTAGGATGAAATTGCTCTTGTGGTGCTGGTGTGGAGGGAATCAGACAGATTTTCAATTAACATACCAGCCGGATGAGTCACTTTGAAGATTTACAGGAATGGTGCACATTTCCAAAAATGAAGAAGCAGACCAAAGGGTGAATCAGGGAGTCTGTGCATGCATTTTGACCAAAAATACTGTAGAAAAATGAAGAACGGGAAATTACAACCAGCATCATTCTAAAACTACTTTTCCCAAGTTGGTGCACTTCAGAAGCTCTGGCAAACAACCCACATAATATGCAATTAGCATGGACAATGACCATCTTCTCTGAGATGATGGGAGGTATGATGAAAGCATTCTGGATAATAATGAACATGGCATGCATGAAGGTTATGGGCTACTCCTAGGGTCAAAATTAGCTTGCTTGAAATGTAAGTAGGATACTTTTAGCACTCAGTTGCTGCAAAGATTACTAGTTTTGTCATTATGTTCTGTACCTATGTGTGCTGCATGGCCCACAAGACAGCAAAAATGGGTCCTGGGCCTCCCAGCGCTTGTCTCAACCAACCAGGGACATTTCTACAATGATGCAGGCTGATGCATCCACATCAGGGGTTGAGTGGGAGGAACAGCAACCTGCACCATTTTGCCCTGCTTCTTGTGAAGAGTGCCGTCCCCCAGGCTCTGGAGCACCCCTCTACCTGTTGCCCTGCTGTGGCATTTGCAAGAGAATGGGTGGTGGGCTGCCTGGAACAGCTGCCCACTTTCTATCGCACATGCTCCACCTTATCTTACTATGACCATGAACAAGCCCTGAAAAGAATTGGCTGAATGTTCTTGAGATCATGCCTGAACTCTCTTGGGATGTAGACAAGCTCTTGAAAGAGCACCATCCACAGAAAGGGCTGTGAGGCAGAGGGAGGAGGTGGTGTGTCTTCTAATTTCAGGCAGCAATATCTGTGGGGCCAGGACTGAAGCGAATTCCCCTTGGAACTGGTGTTCTCTCACTGGCTGCAGTAGGCCAGGATAATTTCTCTGGTAATTTTCATATTCAGCTATAATACCCATATACTCAGTAATCGGTAAAACATTGAGCTATGACCTGCACAATACCTAACAAATTATTTCCACAAAATACATGCTTAGTGCCCCTTTTCCCCCTTTAGTCTTCATTAACTCAAAACCCCATAGAAATGTCAACATGGCTACCATATAAATTAAACAGAACTCCCTAGTGTAAATTCTGGCACTCCTAGAAATGTGTAGAGCATTCCAAAGGGACATGATCAAGAATCTTCCTATCTCCATTCACGCAGGACATTGACCCAAAAGAGAGGGTAGTAAAGGAACTGCAGACATTAAAAATGAGGATTATGCCATTAACTCATGACCACTCCAGTCCTATTATGGGTCACTCAATTCAATAGGAAAGGGCCTTTGACAGATACTTTAATTCACCAAAGGAGAATCCTTGGACCAATCTATCAGGAACTATGAATCACTGCTCCATATGACAAATTGTGTCTCTACGGGAGTCTTCTGGAGTGAATTTGTGAGTGAGGTCTGACTGAGGTTGAAGTTTGTTTGCTTGTTTGTTTCATTTTCATACCACCCAATAGCCAGAGGTTGTCTGAGAGGTTAACAAAAGTTAAAAACATATAAACAACAACTAAAAAATGAACACAGGGAAATGACACATCAAACAATAAAACAGTAAAATCACAGCAATTGCAACCAAATCAGTGCAGAGGTATAGCAGCAGAATTTGACTCTTCAGAGCAGAAAAAAAGAAAAAGACTTTCTCTGGAATTTTGCTTGAGAAACAAGGAGTTCCTGAGCCCTGGAATGTCTTGTGTTCCTGGTCTTGATCTTTGATCCTAATGTCTGCATTGTTTCCTGAACTTGCTTTTCAGGTTGAAGTGGGGAACTTGGATTTTTGTTGGGATGTCTACAACCACAACAAGAGTTCCTGAGTCCTAACAATGGCTTCTCACTGGTTTCTGTACATTGCATCCTTACGTGACTTCAAAGGTCATTCCAGATCCCATATATATATATGTGGATCTTGCTCCCATTTCACATGTCATCTGCAAGGCTGAGGTGCCATTGGCCCCCAGAGAAACTTAACATTGTACAGAGGTGTGTACCACAGTCCCAGAAGCAAACTTCTAATGCAGCCTAATACTACCCACATCTCTCGATCGGTTTCTATTGGGATTTTGCCTAGGGCCTTCTTTGCAGGTTGTCAGGAAGGCTCTGAAAACATCCAGTTTTGCTGGCCTTACAGGAGTGTCTCAAGCTGTTGGTTTTTATGGTGATATATGTTCGTATTGATTTTTTTCCTATTTGCAATCACTGCTTTTCTTGTACTTTTATTGGATAATTTCTTTAATGTAACTTTTATATTGTTTGAATTTTGAACATCAGTTTGGGAAGGTTTGCCACTTAAAGGTGACCTTAAAATAATTTTGAATGAAATAAGTATAAGACTTTTGACTGGTGAAATCTCAATTGCATTCTGGTGTTTTAACACAATCCAGGAATTGGCAATTTTTTTCCAGTCATTGTGACTTTTGTTGCATTCTGTTCTACACCCATATTTGTCAGCGATTTGGGAAAATACCCTTCAAAAATTTAATGCACAGTTTGTTGTTATTATTACATTATATACAAATATACCCTGGTAAATTTTGTAAGTCCAGTAATATTTTACATGAGTTGTAAATACTTCAGTATATCAAAAATAAAAAATAAAAAATAAATTGCCTAGTGCTTTTACATAATGCTTTAAAATGTACAATATACAATTACTTATCAGTGCATAAAAATGGACCTGTTTTTACCATACATTTAATATTTAATTTCATCCTACATGTCGGGGTAACCACCCTTCTCAGCCTCCTGCCTTTTAGTTTCCTTTTCATAAAGCAAAACATGGGGGGGGGGGTTTACAAAATGTCCCCAAATCTGCATAAAAGTAGTCTTGTGGGGTATGTGTATACCCTAAACCAAGTCACAAAAGAATAAGTACAGTTCCTTTTAGTCTTTTTTGAAAGCCAAGATTCTGAGCTACAATTAACAAATGATTTAAATCCACTGAGAGAAAGCTTTTTTATGTTGGTTTAAATTGTATAAGCTAAACAATCTTTGTGCAGATTGAAGGTCAATAGGCCATGCATTGTCATGCACATTTTATTGTTATGCATAGCTTCAGGCAGGGCTTTTTTTTGTCATCGAACTATTAAAATTTCCTGGGGAAAACATTTAACCAAACAAAGGACTTTTCGTTTGCAGCATTTGCCTTTTATTTGGGGTCAGAAATGACCCCTTTTGAAACTAGTGCTAGGTTTCATATAGACATAGGGTGTGCATTCCATTACTTCATCTTTATAAATACCAAAATAGTATTTATGACACATAAACAGGGTTTCCAAATATTGGGGGTGGGAATTAAACTACATATCTTAAGTCTTATTTAAATGTGTGTTTTCTATCAATGTATATCTATTTAAGTCTGAGAACTTGCAGTGAAAGAGTGGCACTCTGAGGGCAGTACTTTGGAACAGAAATGCAGGAGCCCATTCAGTCAAATGAAGAGGAGGGCCCCCAAATGCAGCAGAGCTGGCTTTCCACATGTTTAGATGAATGAAATAATATGCATCACCATCTGAGTCCAGTGTTCAAAGCTACCAAAATCTGGTCCATAGCTAAGTTCCAGTCTGCTCCAAGAGGTTCTGAACAGGGTCACCCTATATAAAAATTTGTAAATTTAACACTCCTCAAACTCAGTCGGGGATAAAGTCCAGTCCTGATGCAAGATGCCTTCAACACCCAATGATGAACCTGAGCTATAGAGCTACTTCTTGCAGAGTAGCTTTTGAGCTGCATATAGTCAGAAGGTCATGCTTTCTTTGGGCGAAATGGCTGCGACATATCAACCTCTGAAAAGCACTGATTTGACTTGAGAAGCAGTGTGCAAGGCTGTCTGAAGTGCATCAGTCAGAGGGGTGGGGAGGGACACAAATAATATAACTCCAGGCCATTCTGGGTCCCTGACTCAACTTGTCATATCTTGTGAATGTCTTGCTTTGCTTTTAGCACAATGCTGAGCCATTTAGCATTTCTTGAAGAAAAGGGCCCACTGCACGTGTTCTACATTTTCTGTGTTTTGCATGATACACAGACAAGCCTGAGTGCATTTGTCATCATGCCATCAATTTTATTATTAAGTGCTCATAATATGGATGTGCATGCGTAACTTGATGTCAATATTCTGTGAGATGGATTTTGTCCTCTACGTGAAGAAATAGGACTGAGTCACCCAGTGGAGGGGGAAGGGTAAAGATGGTCCAACAAATGCGGAAAGGCACTGTTTAATTTACTGGATTCTATGTATCAATGTTGTTTGGTGAGAGAAATCCACTGGTCCCTTCACAACACAAGAAAGAACACCCATCTTTATAAGAAGCAATGTATACTCACCTGATTTGTTGTCCATTTCACACTTGGAAGGAGAAACTAAAGAACTGTGTTCAGTGTAAAGCCAGTCCTGAAGTTCCTGAGAGTTAGATCCAGATTTATCCATTCTGAAAGTAGATCCACTGAAATCAGTGGGACTTCAGTTAGTCATCATGACTGTCTAAAGTCTTATTGCTTTCAGTGGGTCTCCCTCAGGCATGTCTAAATCTGGCTCTAGTTTATAAATGGGTAAAGGATGATGCGGAGGTGCCACAAATGCAAACAGATTGTTTAAGCTGTCTCAGAGAAAGGATTTGGTGGTGTTTGAAAGATAATTCAAGCTGTCTTTCCAGCTGAGATGTCCAAATCAGTGAAGCTGGTTGAAGTTTTCCAATGTCCATCTTGAAGCTTGTTTTGACTTGGATTCTTATTTGGCATCCTCCACCAGCAAGGAGTTGGACCTGATGGCCTTCTTGGCCCCTTCTGACCCTAATACTCTATGATTCTAAGCTTCAGATTGATTTTTTTAGATGGAAATATGTTTGTGTTTTTTCCAAATGAATGCACCAATTGCATACATTCAAATGTTAGCATTTTTCTTCCATTGAACAAAACATGTTTTTTTCAAATTATTATTATTTCATTACATAGGTAAGACCCAAAGTGGCTTACCTAGTCTTCCTCCTCCATTTTCTTCTCACAAGAGCCCTGTAGGGTGGGTCAGCCTGCGCAGGACTGACTGGTCCAAAGTCACCCAGTGAGCTTTAAAGCTGAGTGTGGACTTGAACCCAGATCTTGAAAGTCCTCAGTCCAACACTCTAACCACCACGCCATGCTGATTCCCAAATGTACATGTTGCTGATGTGATTTTTTTCAGATGTAGGCCTTTTCTGACTACATGTTTGTTCTGAAAATGATGATAAGCAGAGATGTGTGAGGAAACCATTTTGTGGGGGGGAATCCATCAGAATCCCAGGGCTTTGTTGTGGCCATAGGTCTGAATTTCTCCTGAGTGCATTTTCCAGAAATCATGCCACATGTGGCCACTGTGGAAGCAGCATCCCTTTTCTATGTGCATCATGTGCAACAGGCATTGTTAGTGCTGCACAAGCTTGGAAATGTATAGATAAAAGAGACCATAGATCACATTCATTTGTGGTAACTGTAAGTTGGATAAACTCTGGTTAAAACCAAACTGGGATGAATTGTTCATCCATCTCTGTTTCCACATGGTTATTAAGACTGTGTCTCCAATTATGATGAGGAAGCTTAACTTCAGATCACAACTGTGACACTTCTAAACCACCAAGCAATCACATGAATTATGACCACTGAAATTTGGGGATGTTATCACAGGAATTATCACTGCTTCCAGAAAGCTGTTCTAATTAGCTGTCTCAGGTCTGGTTGCACTTACCAGAGTTTCCGCATACATTTTTCTGATGTGACTCCCCTTGTGTATCGGTTAAGTATTCTTTTCTGCAGCAACTGTAACTTCCAGGGTTCATTCCAGGTCAGACACAAAGGAAGGGGGTCAGAATGACCTTGGCTTCAGGCTGCCTGGGAAGCAACTAGGCTGCCACACATAGCAAGTTTATGTGTGGAGGAAGTTTTAAGAATGAATCAGTGTGTTAAATTTCAATCAAGGTCAGCCTGACACCAACTGCAAAAGTACATTGGGAAGACATTTTCAGTTTTATATGGCTTTGAGTGCATAAATCATTCTTCCTTTGAAGACTTTTGGGCTTCTGTACCTACCTATTGTTTCTCTTGAATGTGATTCAAGTGATACTTCTCGGACAACAAAACCTTGCACAGAAAAGTGTGCCCATGCACTGACAGCTTTTGTGAAGCCCACTTTTGAAAATAGTGCCAGCAAAAGATGCAGAGCCAGTGTGGCCTGGTGGCTTGAATGCGAGAGTGGTACTTGGGAGATCCAAGTCCTGGTCGCCACTCAGCTCTGGAGCCCCCTGGGTGACTATGGGCCAGTCACTGCCTCTCAGCCTCACCTACCTTACAGAGTTGTTGTGAGGATAAAGTACAGAAGAGCCTTTCTTGCAAGGCACCTTGGGTTCCTTGCTAGAGCAACTGATGTGGGGTGTAAAGGCAATTGATATTATTAATAGTAATATCCACCTTTGGTATTCTTAAGCCAGGCTTGTGCAAAACAAATTTAAATCCAGCGTGCCCTGGCAATCCATTCTTTGTCAAGAAAAAGCCTAACTCTATGGCTTTTGGGAATGACGTGTCATTTTAGCATGCATTCCAGGGCCAGGGTGACACAGACTCTTTGGGTGGAGAGAGTTACCCCTAGGAAAGGGAACCTCCAGATACAGAGAGGGAAGCAGCAGAAGAGTTTGTCTCAAGGCTGTCATCTCCAGGTATTTACACAGACCCTAAGAACCCTCAGAGTCGGCAGGTGCCAGGAGGGGGCACAGGCCAGGGGCCAGGTGAGTCCCATGATGGCATTGGGAGAGAAAGGCTAGGCAACTGGAGGGGCTGCATTCAGCCAGGAGGCTGCTCTGTGTCCAGAAGGGCGCTCCGGAAGGATGGGGTCCAGAATTACTCAAAAGAAGGGATCTCAGAAATAGTTTCTAGTTTGGGTTCAATGAACTGCTCTGTGCATGCTCAGAGACTAATTCTTCACTGTCTATAGTTTGGTAGATGTACATTAGAAATGAAGAGCTTTTGCCAAAGAACTGCCTGTTGTTTTGAAAGAGAGAAGGGAGAACCTAACTTCCTACAATGACTAGTATAATTTCATGCAAATGAAGAAAATTTACATAGTGTATCTTATTTTTCTTTGTCATTTTGCATCCTTTACTGCTTAATTACTATTGTCTATACTAAGGGTCCGTCTTATTTGTCTCTTGAGAAATCTATATGCAGGTCAAGAAGCAACTGTGAGAACTGGACACGGAACCACTGATTGGTTCAAAATTGAGAAAGGAGTTCGGCAAGGCTGTATACTGTCGCCCTGCTTATTTAACTTATATGCAGAGCACATCATGAGAAAGGCAGGCCTAGATGAATCACCAGTTGGAATTAAGATTCCTGGGAGAAATATCAACAACCTCAGATATGCAGATGATGCCACTTTCATGGCAGAAAGTGAAGAGGAACTAAAGAGCCTCTTGATGCGGTAAAGGAGGAGAGCGCAAAAGTTGGCTTGAAACTCAACATTAAGAAAACTAAGATCATGGCATCCAGTCCTCTCACTTCCTGGCAAGTAGATGGGGAACAAATGGGGATAGTGACAGATTTTATTTTCCTGGGCTCCAAGATCATCGCAGATGGGGACTGCAGCCAAGAAATTAAAAGACACTTGCTCTTGGGGAGGAAAGCTATGGCAAATCTAGACAGCATACTAAAAAGCAGAGACATCACCCTGCCAACAAAAGGGTGTATAGTCAAGGCTATGGTTTCCCAGTTGCAATGTATGGCTGTGAAAGTTAGACCATAAGGAAGGCTGAGTGCCGAAGAATTGAGGCCTTTGACTTATGGTGCTGGAGAAGACTTCTGCGAGTCCCTTGGACCGCAAGACGATCAAACCAGTCAGTCCTAGAGGAGATCAACCTTGACTGCTCTTTAGAAGGCCAGATACTGAAGATGAAACTCAAATACTTTGGCCACCTAATGAGAAGGAAGGACTCCCTGGAGAAGAGCCTAATGCTGGGAACAATTGATGGCAAAAGAAGAAAGGGACGGCAGAGGATGAGGTGGCTAGATGGAGTCACTGAAGCACTTGGTGTGAGCTTAGGTGGAGTCCAGGTGATGGTGGAGGACAGGAAGGCCTGGAGAAGTGTTGTCCATGAGGTCGCGATGGGTCGGACACGACTTTGTGACTAGCAACAACAACATACTAAGGGTGCAATCCTTGCAAGCCTATGGCTGCTAGACAGAGTCTAGACATCCATAGGATAATGGGGTCCCAACCCTGACCGTGGAAATTCACACCAAGGCTGGAACTGGGACTCTGAACTCAGAGCACCCTCCTTCTTCCATTGTGCCCAGCACAGAAAGAATCACACCAGTAGCAACTCCAAAATCAAAAAAGAAACCTCAGAGCTGGAGTTTTGTTGGTGTGGAGCAGAGCACTCAGACAGCATAAACTGGCCATTTAAGTATTTTGCAAGGTTGGAAAAACATGAAGGTGACCTTTATCTGCATAATTCCTTCCCCCTTCCATAGGAACCCCCAAGAGTTAGGGGAAGCCTCACTGGATTGGGCTGCCCAACTCAAATTCCTGGTCAAAGAAGTGGCCCAAAGTGCCAAAAACTTATAATTATGCAAATATATATTATACTACCTTTCTGTTGTCCCTGAAAAACATAGTCAACCACCAATATGGCTAGAGGCTTGGTTTTTATTTTTTATTTTAAATGTAAGTTTTGATGCTAAAGAGGTTTACTTCTAATTCCATTACTGCCTCTTGTGCTTTTTCTGCTTGTCTAAAATTTGCCATAAAGCCCCGTTTGGCTGGAATATTTCTGCAATCTTTTGCTCAGCCTTATCTGAGAGACAAATTTGTAGCAAATGGTGCCCTTCCCATCACATTTATGTGCAGCATGAAAATATATGTATCTATGCTCCAAATATAGTACCTTAAACACAGCAGTCTAACATGTGCCTTACAGACACATTCCTGCACAGGTGTGTTTTTCATATCTAATGTCTTCCTTTTTTCTCACAGGGAATGTATGTCGTAGCTCAGCATTTGTGCTGGAAAAGCCATAGTGGGGCAATCCACCTAGGTTTTACTTTGCTTTCTGATCTGCAATTAATAAAAGAAAGATCAAAGCCTGTGATACTATATCTAATTTCCATTGGTTCTCTAGATTCTCAGAAATGCCAGACAGATGTTTTAATTCACTCCATAAAAGCATGTGCAAGGGGTGAGTATCAGAGTAGTTTTAAGGAAAGGCTTTAGGACTGACCTTCACCTCCTTTGAGTTTGCGCCCAAACTGCATGCAGTTGTCATCCCAGTAATTTTCTTTAAACGGTCATTTGGGATTCTTTACATCAAGACTACCTTGCTATTCATAACCTTAATGGGGATATGTATCTGTGCTCCACATAACATTTCTACATTATTGAGACTTCAAAGCATTTTTATGAAGATTAGTACTTGGGGTAAAAAAATAAATAAAACCTTTGGAAAGAATGTAATGATACACCTGTGATTGCTTAGTACTTTTCAGCCTTGTATTGGTTTCAGAAAGAAAACATTAGGGCATGCTTTTCCTAGTTTTTTTAAATGCCATTAAAAGCCTACTCCTTGGGTTTTATATTTTAAAAAAGTAGGGATGTATGAATCAGCCTGTTTTGCACATGTCCAGCCATAAGACTCTTACAGTCTGCATGTGCACAAGCTGGGAGGCAGAAGCCAGAAGGCTTGTATGCTAAACATGGAAGGGCTTTCCATAAACGAATGTTACCACATTTCAAAACAATTTTTTCTTCAAGACCTCAATTAGTCCTCCCTCCTTGAGGTGGCTGTCACCACAAGCGGCTATTCCAGCAGGATGGACAGAGAGAGAGAGAGAGAGAGAGAGAGAGAGAGAGAGAGAGAGAGAGAGAGAGAGAGAGAGAGATCATTCCACCAGCCCTGCTTAAAGGATGGTCCCCCCCCTCCCCATTCCTATTTCCTTTTGTGTCTGATCCTTTCCAGTGGTGAACCTGTGGACATGGTCCCTCTTATGTAGATTATACAGTATATACACCATTCTGGGAGCCTTTTTGGCTTAGGAGCAGCATAAAGAAATACATCAGATAAATCAATAAGGACCTAATCCTATCACCTCTGCAGCAGATGCTCAGAAGCCTCCAAGCTGAGAGGCCTGCAAGCATCCAATGCAGGCATGAAGTGTAGTGCTGGCCCCACT